CACACACACACTACGCCCCCCCACACATGTGCACACACACACACACACACACTACGCCACACACACGTGTGCACACACACATGCATGCACACACACACACACACTACGCCACACACACACACGCCCGCACACACACACACACACACACACACACACACACACACTACGCCACACCATTACATTAAAGGCTTTGGCAATGCAAGGAAAAGTCTCTCGAAGCGTGGAGGATGAAGACGATTTCCTGAATATGTAAAGAGTTTTATCAAATCAATCAGGAAAAACCTACCCAGAGAGAAGCAGGCAAAGGCATTGAACAGACCACGCACAGAACAGCAGCAACGTGAATTTGAAAAGATTTCCCCTGGCAGTCAGGAGAGGTGGTGGAATAAACAAAATGCTTTTAAAAGCAATAGTATTCTGGGTTGGTGAGGGACGGGGAGCAGGCCCTGGGCCCAGGCTGCACCAGCCCACTTCTGGGGAGGGGTCCCAGGGAGACTCGGCAGCCAGGTCTGACCAACTGACATGGGCACAGGGAGTGGCCGGTGCCTGGACACTGCTGGGGCCTCACGGGGTGGAGCAGGCAGCCTTGGCCGGGCGCTGCGTGGAGGGCAAGGGCAGCAGTGTCCTCCAGGAGGACCCCCCACCTGCGCTGCTTGCTCTCGCGGGCAGGTGGTCCCTGGGCCTGTACCCCAGGCTCTGGTTCTCCCGCGGTGCTGGCCCCGGGGCTCACCGTTGAGGCGGGTGATGGTCCAGTTCTTCCGCACCGTGGCGGGGACGAAGGGCAGCTCGAAGACGTAGGGGCCGACGTTGGGGTCCACGTCGGCGTCGGCCGCGGTGATGTTGATGGCGTTGAGGCCTGGCTTCTCGCAGATCTGTGCCTCCTTGGGCAGCAGCTCGGGCGCGTTGTCGTTGATGTCGATGAGGTAGATCTGCAGAGTCCCAGTGCCGCTGGCCGGGGGGATCCCTGAAGGACAGGTGTGGTGACCACGGGGGGCCAGGCCACCTGGGATCAGGCCCCACCAGGACAGCGCACAGGCAGCCGCCCACAGCACACCAGAGACGCAGGCCCTCAGGCAGACGCAGCCCAGCCCCCCAGCTGCACCACACCCTCCACTTGCGGGAAGCCAGGGCCACACAGGCCCCAGGGCAGCGCACACAGGCTCTCCCGCACACCCTCCCCTGACCAGCCACAGGAGTGCCCGATAGCTCAGCTGTGCCCTGGGGACCCTGCTTCCTTCTGGGGCTGCCAGGGCTCTGCAAGGTGCCCGAGGCCTGCCCTCTGACCCTGTCCAGCTGTTGCTGGCTCTCCTGCGTTTCCTGCCTGTCAGCAGGGCTCTGACACCTGGCCACAGTGCAGAAGGGCACTAACTGTCCCTGGGAAGGACGTGGAGGCTCCCCAGATGAGCTCTGGGTGGAGGCGGACTCCACAGAGGCCTCTCTTTCCCCTGGCCTTGGAGTGGCGGGGGTGCTCTGTGAGCCCAGAGTCCAGCCCGGCCGCGGCCCAGGCTGGAGGGGCTGACGGGCACCTGCAGGCCAGGATCCGGGACAGAGAGGCCGTGCGCTCCTCAGACGTGGAGGCTGCAGCGTCCTCACCCTGACCTGCCTCCAGGTGGCCACTCCTGGTCCCCACCAGCAGAGGTCAAGGCGGGGAAGCCCGGCAGCGCAGTGCAGGCCTCTGGACCGGTCCCCAGGAGAGGCGCAGAGGATCTGTTCACGGCAGAGTTCCTGCTGCGGCCTGCTGCCCGGCCTCCCCTGGGAGCCCCCACATCCTGTCCCCAGGTTGTGCCCCTCCTCTCTGACCGAAGCCTCAGGGCTCAAGCTGTGGTAGGTGAGGACCGGGGACTCCTGAGCCCAGCGTGGGGTGGCCGGCAGGGCAGGCACTGACTCTGGCTTGCTGTAGCCGGCTTTGGGTCCACTGCTCTTGGTGTTAAGTTTTGGCTGCTCAGTGTTCTCAGAACCACCAGCACGTACATAGGTCCTGCCTCTGGGCCTTTGCACGTCCTTTTCCTGACTTTGGGACACTCCTCTCCCACTGCCTCTTCTCTTGGGTTCTCCCTCTGGTCACACAGGTCTTTCCCAGGGCAGGTCCTCATCCAGACGAGCCACTGGCCTCGTCCCCGCCCTGTTTCCTTGTTGTGCTTCTCTGTGTGAAACTACCTGGTGACTTTAGTTGCCTGCTGGGGTGGAGACGGCTGGGTAGCCCCCAACTTCCATTTTGCTTTCTTTTAATGAAGGAATCGGAGCCCCAGTGTCACCTGGGCTGTCACTGTCCATGGAGAAGGCTCCGATCCCCAGCATCCCTCGGCTGGACGTGGCAGGCGAGTGCCCTTCCGAGGGGCTGGTCCCCCTGGAGTCTCAGAAGGCTGGGGTGCCCGCCCGGCCCTGCCCACGGCTGGTTTGTTGGAATGTGTGGCGGGGGCTGGAGGACCCCGTGCTGGGCGCGGTGAGTACAGGAGGCTGGCCACACCCGCCTGGGCCGTGGGCGCTGTGGTCCTGCGCGGCACCTGGCCCTGGCTGGCCGACTCTCAGGCCGCTGCTCTGCCAGGGGCTCTGGTCTGGTTTGCCCACTGCTGAGCAGCGGCCCCCGGGTGGTCAGGACCAGGAGAGCGGCAGCAGGAAGAGCAGAGCTGGCCGTCACTCGCTGGCCTGCCTGTCCCGTGCGGTGGGTGACTACTTATCTGACTCTCGGAGTTGGTAGCTCCCCCATTTCACAGGGCAGCCTCTCCCGATGGGAAGAGAACTGGACTCTCTGTGCCTCAGAGAGTGCAGTTCTCTTCCCATCGGGAGCGGCTGCCCTGGACAGGACGTCCACTCCTACCCCTTCCATCTCTGCAGGGACTGGCCCCAGAGGCACCCAGCTGGCTGTGGAGGTGCTGTGGGGCCTGGGCGGCCTCTGGCTGCAAGCCCAGCACCTGGAGGCCTGGCCGTGGCCCTCGGAAACCCCGGCTCCAGGTGCCCCTCCTGTCCAGACCCTGGGGTCCTCTGCTCCATGGCCTGTCTGGGGTCCTGGCCGCCCTCCTTCCTGGGCTCACTTCTGGCTGAACTCTGGAAGGGTCAAGGTGGGAGGCTGAGCAATGGCTCGTGGGGTGGGGGGCTCGGCAGGGACGGGCGGGGGCGGCCACGCAGCCGAC